GCCATAAATCTTCGAGAAAATATTTTGGAGACATATTTTACGCGATTGACGCCTCAACAGAATGAGTTAGAGTGTTAGACTGTATAACAAGATCCCATTTCATTTCATTTCATTTCGCAGTTCGATTATGAAACAAAAATACGAGAATGTGAAAATTTTCTGTAATTCCAGGCAAGCGACAACCTAATGAATTCAAAGTTTTCTTTTTAATGCATTTTAGAACATAGGAAACTCTATAAAATATAATAATGGAGCATTATGTTGAAGTGATTGATTCGTCCAGAATTCACTTGAAGATAAATTAAGCAGGTTCGTCTCGCGCACATCAAATTTCTCTCAGAGTGAAATAAGTTACGGTATTTCCTAACTAATTTTTGCGTTAATCTTATATACTCACATGGCCTTTTTTTACGTAGCTGAATCCATGGTAACAAGAATGCCCTCACCGTACCAAGGACTATGCATTGTATTGCTTACCAGTGACACAGTGAGTCGCAGAGATGCATGGTTGCTATTTCACTGCTCAACTTGTCGACTTGCCCAAATGTTCAAAAATACTTGTTGCGCTGTTGATGAAATAGCAAAATTGGCATGTAGACGAAGTTTATTCCAAAAGTATGGAAAAAAAGTTGAAAATAAATATTTTATTACATCCCAATTGGGTTTCCTTAAATTGAAATTTTAAGGATCTTTACTGCATCCAGAAATAAAAAAAATGGTCCTGGTTGACGACAGGCAAATGAAGCCTAGATTTGGCAGCGCTAGGTGAGATGGTCTCGCCTGGCGCCTGCCATAGAGCACGCGACGCGGTGCGTGGGTGGCGGTCTTCATAAGTCGTCTGCCATGTTTCCTAGCGTTTATTCCCTCTAATATATTCACTTTCTCCCAGACTTTATTCTCTTCTTATTCTTCGCCGATGAAAGGCTCGGAAGGGCTTCACTCATACTACTTCTTCGCGGTGAGCGACGTTTTCATGGGCGTTTTTAGTTAGAAATAATGCAATACATTAAACTGACAATAACATTCTTCATATCGTCACAGGCAATACCATTCTTCCGATTTTCGTTTCGAAAAATAATTTGTCTGCTGAGGCGAACAGGGATTGAAATCTAGTCGAGAATTGTGTGTTCCTGTTATGAAATAATTCCTCTATACCGAGCCGGCATTGCTCGCACTGAAAATTTTGGTTAATCGCCAATACTAAAAATTGGTCTTCACTGGCAAGAAAATAAAAAAAAAATTCACACAGCCATCTGTCTCTTCTTAAATCCAAACACCTACATGGAATTTGAATCAGGATTTTTTTGAAAACTCGACAGCCTTACCGGTTGCCGATCTCCGTACACACATTCAATGTTTTATGCGATCCAAGTTTTGAGAAAAACTAAAACAAAAATTTTCTTTGGAAGTCAAAAACGCATGCTTCGAAATATCCGTTTCATGAATGCAAAAAATGGAAAATTTTATAATACACTAACAATTTTATGCAGGATTTCCTAACGTAATTTAAATGATATAAAGTACAGTTCGCAACAAACAAGTTCAAATCAATATTTTGTGTGTATACCGTGATTCACCTGCTGCCAATACATAATTGAACTCGCCTCAATATTTGTATAATATTACTTTATCCATAAAATAGAGGTATTTTAGTAAGTTTCTGCATTATTTTATCATTCATCAAACCTGGGCAAGGTGCTTTCTAGACAAAATCTCATAAAAAATTAATAAATCACTCTCCGGTTCGTACAAATGCATTTTCAGACATTAGAACAGTTTGCAGCTGACAGCAGCTGCATTTACGACTGCTATTGAGACAGCCAATTCATCAATTTTTAAGATCAATATCAAAGCGCAAACAATAAATCAGTCCCAGACTCAGCAGCTATGCCGCCATCATTTGCATGCAAGGCTCCGGGCCAAACTTGACGTTCTTCTTGCAAGGTATAAGCGAGCTAGCCATAGAGAGCCTAAGTAAATTATTTGAAGGACTATCACTTTGATTTAAGAAGCAATTGCACGAATTATTGAGGCAGCATAGGAAGCATTATATGCATTGAGAATTCGGTGCACATGGCATCGTTGTAGTGGCGCGACATGAGCGAGTGCCATGACAGGGTGGGAACGAGCTAGACTAGGGCGTAGTCTCTTGCTGCCAGGGTAGCAGACGGGGAGGGCAACTGCATCTGGGCGACCATCACCGCAACGCCAAGCCCTCACAAAAAATAGAAGCATTTAATTTTGTAGGCAGCTGGTACACAAGGCTTGAGTAGTCAGACCGCTCTATGGTCGCAGCGACCGCAACTAGTTTCGCTTTGCGCCGTTCGCCCAGTAACGCACCGAGCAGCTGGTTTAGGCTAGTCCAGCTCTACACTTAAGGATGGATGTTCATCGCTGCATTAAAGGAGCGAAGAAATTAATAACTGTTTATCTGGCTGTATTGGTTTTAATCTGTCTGTAAAATACTAAATAATGAGATGTGATTATGAGGTATTAAAATGTGAGCGAGAAATTTGCATTATGGCTTTTTCCATTAATTACCTTCTATCTTTTATCCACTCTTCTTGCACACATACGGTAGTTCAAAGCGAAGAACAAGTTCAAATCGAGAATATTAATGATAGAACTGACGCAATGTAGTAAATAATCCACACAGTGAACTATTTACTACTTCAGATCACTTTCAAATTATTTCAGATCGCTGCCGAATAATTCACATAAGACCGAAAGTGACCTGAAAGAGAATCCCAATTTGATTAACACTGACCAGCACAAGTAGTTTTGAGTGTCAAATGCGCGGTCACTTAGAAACATATCAACAGTCGCTTAGAAGCCGCCGTCTGCAGCAGACGCAAATTAACGTGGACTCCAAACCAATGATTGCTAGTAATTACACGTGCATTACTAAAAAACAATTATATTAATTTTAAAAAGAACCTGCATCAATTACTGAAATATACGTACATCTTTTTTGCATGCTGGAGGGAAGTGACCAGCTTAAGCTCGTATAGTAACCAATATTTTATCCCGCTCAGATATATGATTATGATCTGATTACATAATAGTCATCAACACGCTCTTAAATGTTATATTACATATGATATCTATGCAATTCTAGGAATAGAAGCAAAACAAAGAAACGAGCAAATCATTTTATTATACATAAAATAAGTCAAAATGTTTCTCAAATGTAAAAATGTCTCACAACTATAACGACATGAAGAGAAAATGTTCGCTTTTCTTGCCGGATCGAAAAGGTATGTGTCATGCAAAGCGCGTTCATTTTCCATTGATTAGAGTCACTGCTTTAACACTGATAACTTATAGTAGCTTAATTCAGGCTTGGAAAATTTAACCAGCTTTCAGGCCCAACGGTCATCCTTGTGGCTGGCCTGTCAGCTTAGCGTGGAAATCCTACATGGAAACTGGAATAAGACAATCTGAAGAAAAAATATAACTCAATACTCACTGCAGTGTATGAGTGACAGAGAGCGCATTTTCTCGTCGACGAAAACGTGAAGTCACGGAAGGACAGACGGACAGACGGACAGACAGACGGAGAGACAGACGGACAGACAGACGGACGGACTGACAGACGGACGGACAGAGAGACGGACATGACGAGCACAATAGCGCCTTTTTTCTCTAAATGAGAAAATGCGCTAAAAACAGCTAAGATGCGTGAAAATCAAAAGACTGTCCAGTCAATCTCCGTTCATTTCGTTGACGTAAATGGCAGAAAATAGGACAAATGTTGAATAATTTAATCGGTTTGTAGTAGTACAAATTTTTTGATAGTTGATTTAGAAATTAAACATTTTATTAATTGTCTCTCGTTTGTTATCTATCATTTTCGCTCGTACATCCAAAAATGGTTGTCATGGGAATTTATGTAACTTCTACATAGCTGATTCCTTTAAATTTCGACCATGTAATGTTTTCAAGCGACGTAGTGTTCATAAGAAACACTAAGCACGTAGAAACTACGCATGTAATACATGTAGAAACGATGCATTAAGTTTTGCAGTGTAATTAAGCGTTGTTACCGCTAACCACATTGCACTTTTTTCAATCAGTGATTACTCTGATTGCGCTGAATAATTCTGTCGCTAATGTAATTGCATCTTTCAAAGACAAAATGACGAAAAAAACGATGCTTGATATTATATAACAATACTGTAAAAACTGTAACAAAAACAAATTACAGTTTTTTTAAATAAAATCTAACAAGGTGCGAGTCTATCATGAAAGAGAATATACATAATACACGTATACGCCGGCAAGAAGAATAACGAATAAAGATGTTTTAAAACTGGCTCACCTTCAAATTATCTTGAGGGGATCTGAATAAGGAGAAGACAGGACACCAAAAATAAAATACAAAGTTAGACGTGAAAGAAATGCGCAAATTCAACGAGAAGTAAGATTCTAACGGGAACGAGAAGTACAAGAAAGGACAAAAACACTGCGGGTATCTTAAATCTGGTAAAAATAACAGCATTAATGCAAATTCTGTGCATGCTCAGAACTGAGAGCGTTCTGGCACAACTGCCACAAAACACACGGAAAAACTGATTGCAAATGTTTTAATAAGCGAGGCTCGTTTTGTATTATTCAAGTGTGATGCTTGGTTTCGCATAATTCAAACTCTCATATTTTGCATTCCCACAAGAATCGTTCTAAATTTTATGCGGTCTTCAAATAAAAGACTATCACTGTCATATTTTTTCTTCATCGCTGAGCTGAACGCGGAAAGCATATAGGGAAGCCAAGGGATCGCAATCGTCTGCTTTTATTTAAAGTGATTTCTAACTATTATTTATTTATCTCACTATCGCCGTTCACTTTCTAGCAAATGTAACCTTGCTGCTATTCTCTTTACAGCATACCCTACTGGTTTTTATTAATTTGATTAAATAGTATAAAACAATACATGATAAGTGCATGTAGCAACTTATAAACACCGAGCAACCATGACTCACGCCAGTTAACGATCGCAGGCGCTCTGTTCAACAACCACACGCTGCTGGAGTTCACGCAAAGCGAGGTGGACATGGACGCTCTGGAGGTGACAGAAGCAATCCTATGGGTGTTCGTGAGGAGCCTTCACGGTCGCCACGGTGCGCACCACCACGGGCGCCACCTCGAACGGCACCATCAGCACCCCAGCGTGAATGGTGCTCGGACGTATCTCTGGGTCTTTAGAGTGCCCCCTGACCCACCCAGTGCAGTGGTAGGTTTCTCAGCAAAGAGATTTTCAATTTCCAGTTGCCATCAGGCTTGAGTTTCTAGTACGTTTGTTATGGAAAGAATATTTCATAGTTACCACGTAATCACTTTGTTGAGTAGTGCTTGCGTAATCTACCCTGTGCCTAAAGATCGGATCCAACCTCCTGTAAATGTAAATTCCGTCCAAGAGGATTTGTGACTTGTCTTATTTACCACTATTTATTCATTTATTTGTTTATACATTTGCTTTGGTACCCCACCCACCATAGACCTTGCATGCGTTTTATTCCTCCCTCATGACCGAGGAGGGGTCTGGGTGCCGGGCTCCCAGGGCTTGCCCCTGGGAGTTCGAGGCTCTGACCCTCCTTCCTCTCGGCCAAGACTGCCAACTTTGACTAAAAATCATCAATATTCAACTTCATCTTGTCCCAAATATGCCACTCAGCCGCCATCAACCAAACTCACTCGCTGGAGACCACTCACCTACAGAATTCAACTCGAGCTAATCAACCCTAGACTCGCTACTGACCGTTCACAAATCTTCCAGACCACATTTAAAGACCTAAACGCTCCATTCATCCGGCTAACTGACACCTCCACAGTTTTTTACGCCGTTACTGACGACATTTTAGCAATAGACCGACTGACATCCAAGAAAGCAACTGACGCATTCGAGAAAATTAACTTGGCACCAATCATCCCTCCACACGACCACACCTAAGGTCAAAACGCACAACATTTGCAAGACAGCTCGACAGAGATATTGGCAGACAAACCCCGACCGAATTCAAGGACTAAATAACGCGACTATATAACATGAGCCATATATACGAAATAGTTAAAATCAAGGATTACACCCACGTCATCAAAATACTAACAACTGACAATAATCGCCCAACTTATCCTAAACGAAGATTTTGCCATGTTCAACATCCGTATCACCTTGCGGCCTCGACCATAGATCACTTGTCGTAAGAAAAAAAAATAATTCTAAACAAACAGAAAAAAATGCATTACCAAGAATTGCAAAAAATACGTATGTCGAGATCGCCAAACACACAATCAAGCAAACGAACATACCCCAACAAAACATCATCCTCAATAACTCCATACAGATCACACTCACGGCACTCATCCTAGAAGCTCACATAGCCAGCCTCGCCAGTCAGGAGGGGTTTGGCTCAATACTCTCCGAATCTTTATAAGCAAATTACAAAATCGACGCTAGTTTCTACAACTGAGTTTCCGTAAAAATCTTTAAATTTTTTTACAACCACGACAAGAACTAACCACACGAAGACAACACCGACTTTATGATCAGAAACGACTTCATAAATTAAAAAACGACTTGCCGACTTCATAAAACGACTTGCCGACAATGACTAGAAGATCCTCACTTAGTCTAACTCAACAGAATGCAGACGGCACAGACGACTCAAGAGAAACTCTACAGTCTACATCCACAAACAATAACCCACGACGACAACCGAGACGCTAAAAGCTGAAAATGAGCGATAAAAACTATTATGACATAACCATATCACCGCACCCGGACTCAAAAAACATATTCAGATCAAACTTTTCATAAGCGACCAAGACCTCACCCTAATTCCAGCAGCACATCGCAACGCTCGCTTCGAGTCACCGACATGTGGAACAGCCTCCCTGATAGCATCGTTGACGCTCCGAGTATGAACGTCTGCCTTCAAGAACAGAATAGAGTACTAGACGAAGCTATGCAGGAGCATTTGTTCAGTCTTAAAATGCCTATCAAATTACGGACCAAGCAATAAGTTCAGCAGCTATCTCAATCAATTGTCAGTTATGGAAAGATCGGGTTCCAAAGGCCGGATCCCTTGTGAATCAATTTACGAAAAATTTCTGAATTGGCAACAGGCCATGGGCCTATTTCTTCAGTGCCGACACTTCTATTCTATTCTATTCAATTCTATTCTATTCTAACATTTGGTTAATTGGAGAATTGAAAGAGAAAATCCTCGGTCTAAAGCTCTCGATAGAAGAAGAGACTCAGTCCTAGCTTTCGACCTACTGAAACGTGACAAACTTATCCTAGAGAGACCTCATATCAACATAATCCCCCACGACGCTTTCGACGCCATGAGCCGTCACACTACGGTACCATCATAAAATCCCAACATCCACCTACAAGAAAACAGAATCGTCCACTGCAAAATATCCAACTCCGACATGACACCACAACGCTCAATAAAAATTACCCAACACAACGTTTAAATCTGGACCATCAAAAAATTTGCGCTATCCAAAATCTACAACAACATTAACCCTGATTTTGTCTTACTGAACGACCACTCCCTCACTAACGACGCCCACTTGAAAATCTTTAACCACCATTCATACACTAGCAACAAAGACAATGCTCTACACACAGGTGCCGCCATCGCAATCAAAAGCCACATTCCCTACCTGCTGCACCATAACTTCCACTCCGAAATGCTGGCCGTAATAATAGACACCCTACAAGGACCTATTACTATTGGAACAACGTTCATTCCCCCTCGAACCGGTTACCTAAACTTAATTCATAGACTTTCACACCCTCCTCAAAAGACCGCACCCAGTGTACCTCGTTGCCGATCTAAACGCAAACCACCCGAATCTAGGAAACTCCAGATCCAACCTCACAGGCAGAAAATCACCGAGTACCCTCAACGCCAGACCTAACACTAGAAGAAAAAGAAAAAAAGCATACTTGGAAAAATGGACACAGCTTGTACAACGTATCATAGACCTTGCACACACTCACTCACACAACGTATTATTCCTGGTGTGAAACCGAACCACGAAACACTCAATACAAACACAATACCTAGCCACCCTTCGTCACTTACAAACCTCAGCATTACCCTAATAATTACCCTACTTCCGCAACACAATCCTAACAATTACCCTTTTTCCGCAGCATAACCCTAATAATTACCCTATTTTCGCAACATAAACCTAACAATTATCCTTTTTCTTCAGCATAACTTTTATAATTACCTATTTCCTTAGCATAACCCAACAATTTCACTTTTCTCTGCATAACCCAAATAATTACCCTACTTCCGCAACACAATCATAACAATTATCCTTTTTCTGTAACATAACTCTAATAAATACCCGATTCGCGCAGGATAACCGTAATAATTAGCCTTTTTTCGCAAAATTCTAACAATTACCCTATTTGGCACGAAATAACCATAATAATTTCCCTGTTTGTGCAGCATAACCCTAATAATTACCCTATATGTGCAGCGCAACCCTAACCACATGGTCGGCTCGCAGCTCATCTCCCTGTCGGAGCCTGGCTGGCAGCGCATCAACATCACTAGTGCCGCCAGCCACTGGTTCGCTCAGCCTGGCGAGCCACTGAGACTTCTGGTCGACTGCAGCAGCTGCAGCGGCCACATCGAAGCAGTACTATTCAATAATTATAAATTTAAAGGAGCAAACAAGCCCGACTCAAGAGGACTAGATGCCGCTTACAGGCCAGTTCTTGTTATCAAAACGAAGCCGTCTCCGACGAGACGTCTAGCTCGTCGTGCATTGCAATGCGAAAGGAACACTGAGCATTGTTGTAAAGAAGAATTTTATGTGTCTTTTAGTGAATTAAATTGGGATGATTGGATACTGGCTCCTAAGGGGTACCATGCCAATTTTTGTCGTGGGTCTTGTGATAGCATGTATCAGACTGCGGACAGCTTGCACACCGCGTACGCACATGTCATGGAAGAGGCGCGGCGTGTCCGGGAGCCAGGCGCAATTTCTCAATGTTGCGCGCCGACACGCTTCTCTCCCATGACTCTCATATACATCGACGAGAATAAGAGTATCATTAAAAGGGATGTGCCGCGCATGGTTGTAGAAGAGTGTGGGTGCGCATAGGCTGTGACCTCGTATATATAGAAGACCTGTCGAATTAGTCCAATCTGTGATCATATCTTTAAGTTATTCATAGATGCTTCTGCGTTGTTAAATAGAATTCCAGTACAAATTATTCATGTCTTTTCTATTCACCTCTGGTGACGTTGCTACTTTGATTAATTGGAAATTCGGTTCCACGAAATTTTAAGTTTTTATTACAGCCAAATTTATTTCAAAAATTTTCCGAATTTCGGGAGTAAATGTCATTCAATTTTGCAGACGATGAGATCGGTGACTATAAAACTTAAGGATATTGTGCCGTTATCTTCTCAAATTGAATTCCTAACGATTTACTGGAATTGATTCATCAAGCCAAAGATTAGGTCTTCTATTAAATATATTGAAGTGAAGAAAGTTCATGAGATTGTATTCAGTTGCATGTTGGCCCAGATCTCGAATAATGCCCTAAACGAAACTCAGAATCTTATTTAACGCAGTCAAGTAACGCGTTTTGGCATCAGCCATTTCATTAGAAATTGCTGTGCAAACCCTAATACGCCCTACCTAATTTTATGCGACTGCTCTAGGCTTATGTCCTGAAAATAAAAAGTGATTTGTGCAGGCAAATTGGTAACGAGTGGTGTTAACTGAATTGGTTTATAAGTATGCTTGCAGTAATAACCTACTTCAGCGCTATTATTAGTTTCTAACTCGTGCTTGCTTCATGCAAACTTGAAACGTTCCTGTCTGTTTTGATTGACTGATTTTGAAGAAAATCTTTGATGATAAACATTAATCATGTTTACTACTGCCAATTCCTTCAGAATTCTACATATTATTCATCCGTTTCCAGGATATGACTTTGTAGACTTTCTTTTCTAAAAATATGAGTTAGTTATTTTAATTTCATGGTGTTTTTTGGCTTTACCAGAATTTTTTTCGCATTTTGAGTGTGCATTCTGTGCGGACATGTAAATTTTAAGCCAATTATATCATAGATCATTTGATCAACTACGCCTTTATTTTGACTTTAATTAGATTGAAACGGGTGATTTCCAAAAAAAAAAAATTTGCGTACCTATGTAACTGAGGAGTTATCAGTACAGCGTGGAGTCTGGCAAATTTTTTACAGTAATCAACTTCTCTGGAACTTCTTCTTTATATTGAAGGTTTGATAAATGAACAATCAGCGATAAGCAAAAAAAATTGAATGTGCAAGTTAGAAAAATGGTTTCGGTCAGTTAACCAACGTTAGTCCAGAAGAAACTTGAATGAATTCAATACCTACTAAAGACTAGCTGTGGCCTAGTCGTTCTAAGGCAAGCATTCAAATTCAAAAGTTTACTTTTTAAATCCCCGTAAATAAAGACAGCACAAATACGCCAGAAGCTTTCTTGCATATTTGTATTCATATAAAAAAATAAGCAACCTCTTTGTAGCTCACTGGAAGGTAAATTTTTTAACATTTTACTTATTAAGTTCAAAATATTAGGTATGATTAAACTACAGCACACCATTTTTCAAAATGCTGAATACACATCATTTATTCAGAAACTTCGTGATTTCATTGGCTGTTTCGGTGCTACGAGTTCGATTTTCCGTAAGAAGTGTACGCTGGTGGTTTCGTTGCTTGTAACGAAACTGTTATGAAACTTTGGCATCCATCCATAAACATTTTATTAAAATATGAAGGTAGTGAACTCCAAAAATAAATTAAATGTATGATTATGTATCTTCATTTGTTTGATGTTTAAATTAGCACTCAAGTTCGAACGCATGAAGTAAATCTCGCAATAATATGTGTGAACATTAATTTTTTATGTGGGCAGTGATTTTAGTGATCATTTATAAATTTTATTCTACCAATTTTAATAAAAGGCAATCTGTGTTTATCATCTGACTTAATTTTGGAATGCTTCGAGAGAGATCACAGCGACTACCGAGCCATGAAGGACTACCGAGCGACTACCGAGCCGATGTTCGTGAGGGTGGTCCGATGTTGGTGCGTGTGGTCCGATGTTGGTGCGTGTGGTCCGATGTTGGTGAGGGTGGTCCGATGTTGGTGCGTGTTGTCCGATGTTGGTGCGTGTGGTCCGATGTTGGTGAGGGTGGTCCGATGTTGGTGTTCCGATGTTGGTGAGGGTGGTCCAATGTTCGTGCGTGTGGTCCGATGTTGGTGAGGGTGGTCCGATGTTCGTGCGTGTAGTCCGATGTTGGTGAGTATGGTCCGATGTTGGCGAGGGTGGTCCGATGTTGGTGCGTGTAGTCCGATGTTGGCGAGGGTGGTCCGATGTTGGTGAGGGTGGTCCGATGTTCGTGCGTGTGGTCCGATGTTGGTGAGGGTGGTCCGATGTTCGTGCGTGCGGTCCTATGCTCGTGCGTGTGGTCCGATGTTGGTGAGGGTGGTCCAATGTTCGTGCGTGTGGTCCGATGTTGGTGAGGGTGGTCCGATGTTGGTGAAGGTGGTCCGATGTTCGTGCGTGTGGTCCGATGTTCGTGCGTGGGGTTCGATGTTGGTGAGGGTGGTCCGATGTTGATGAGGGTGATCCGATGTTCGTGCGTGCGGTCCAATGTTCGTGCGTGTGGTCCGATGTTCGTGCGTGTGGTCCGATGTTCGTGCGTGTGGTCCGAGGTTCGTGAGGGTGGTCCGATGTTCGTGCGTGCGGTCCGATGTTGGCGAGGGTGATCCGATGTTCGTGCGTGCGGTCCAGCCGATGTTGGCGAGGGTGGTCCGATGTTCGTGCGTGCGGTCCGATGTTGGCGAGGGTGGTCCGATGTTGGTGAGGGTGGTCCGATGTTGGTAAGGGTGGTCCGATGTTGGTGAGGGTGGTCCGATGTTGGTGAAGATGGTCCTATGTTCGTGCGTGTGGTCCGATGTTCGTGCGTGTGGTCCGATGTTCGTGCGTGTGGTCCGATGTTCGTGAAGGTGGTCCGATGTTGGTGAAGGTGGTCCGATGTCCGTGCGTGCGGTCCGATGTTGGTGAGGGTGGTCCGATGTTCGTGCGTGTGGTCCGATGTTCGTGCGTGTGGTCCGATGTTCGTGCGTGTGGTCCGATGTTCGTGCGTGTGGTCCGATGTTGGTGCGTGTGGTCCGATGTTGGCGAGGGTGGTCCGATGTTCGTGCGTGTGGTCCGATGTTGGTGAGGGTGGTCCGATGTTGGTGAAGATGGTCCTATTTTCGTGCGTGCGGTCCGATGTTCGTGCGTGCGGTCCGATGTTCGTATGTGCGGTTCGATGTTGGTGAGGTTGGTCCGATGTTGGTGAGGGGGGTCCGATGTTGGTGAAGGTGGTCCGATGTTCGTGCGTGCGGTCCGATGTTCGTGCGTGTGGTCCGACGTTGGTGAGGGTGGTCCGATGTTCGTGCGTGCGGTCCGATGTTGGTGAGGGTGGTCCGATGTTCGTGCATGCGGTCCGATGTTAGTAAGGTTAGTCCGATGTTTGTGCGTGTGGTGTTGGTGGTTAACGGCAAAACACGAAAGACTTCGAGGTATTATGAGTAGAGAAACCAATGTAATTATCGACGAATTTTGATCTGCTGCGTTGGCTAAGGATGAGGTTGTAAGTCTTGTAAGTCAAGTACCATATAAATACCTGCGAACGAAAGTCTATTTTGGTTCTGACCCGTGAAACGAGAAGCGCATTTCTATGAGATGTCTTTCTTATAGCTCGTACTCAAGACGGTGTTTGTGAATGGATTTGTTCATTATTTATCTCGCTTAGAATCGAGTTGAACAAGTTGAAAACACGCCATCATGTGCATCGAAAAAGAAGAAGACTCATTGTAAGATGTTCGCTTTTAGTGTATCAGGAGGTATTAATTGGAGTGAGGAAACATCGTGTAAATCGGTGATGCAGTTTGTTGTTATCGCTCTTCTGAGCCTCAAACTGCGCTCTCGATGTTGACTGCGGGGATAGTACCATAACTATACTGAGTTTCAGTATTGAGAATGTTTACTGTATATTGGACTTTGCGTCGTTCATATTTTGTTATGGAAATATAAATCGTTAATAATTGCTCAAGTTTCTTCTAAACCTTACACAATGAAAAAATATCTTCTTAGGGCCTATAATCATTGTAGCTGTAATTTTGGAATTTTTTAAAAAGCTCGAGCGTGTCGAAAAATGTCATCGCCTTTATTCTCCCAGTGTTGATGTAGACCCTGACACCGTCAATCAAGTTCTTAAAAAATAAACAAACAAACATTTTTGGGCTTCACGCGTCCCTCTATTCATCAAATATTATTTTTCAGGACTCATTAATTATCTGAACAACTTAAATAGTCAATTAACACCAGCCACAACTTTGATAATTTGACTGTTCACCCTCACAACTGTAGAATATTGCGAAATTACAACGTGACTGTAAAAGCAGAACAAATTTTGACTGCTAGCGGCCAGACGTACAAGCAACTTGCGCAGGGTGGGGTTGCCCGCTCACTGGACCCCCACAACCCCTCCATGCAGCTGGCAAGGGAGGTGGAGGGTTGCCTGCTCACTGGACCCTTACAACCCCTCCAGCTGGCAAGGGAGGTGGAGGGTTGCCTGCTCACTGGACCCCCACAACCCCTCCAGCTGGGGGATGGGGGGTTGCCTGTTCACTGGACCCCCACGCCGCCGTGGACCCCCACGACCCCAGACGCCCTCGGAAGCGTCGCTGCAGGTGGCGGTTCCTCCAGTTCTGCTTGACAGCGGCCTGCACCTGCGACGTTCACAGTGAGTCCATGTTTGCAAACGAGTTTTTATTTCGGATCTCGGACCGATTCAGTGAGCTAAATACTCATAATTGTTTGATATAAATAACATTATTGCGCTATGATGAGGCTTTTTCAACAGAGGTATTTGAAATCTGCGCACAAGAGAACAAGTAGCACGCATGAAGGCCCACCTCCTCGTTCAGGAAGCAGTAGCAGAGCGCTACGAAGAAGCCCTGGAAGGAGGAAAGGAAGTGGGAGCTGAGGGACCAGAGGGCGAACTCCACGACGGACCTGTGGAGGGGCGCGGCGACCATGTGCGCCAGGTTCGTGATCCCCAGCAGCGGCAGCAGCAACACCGTCGCCCGCAACGCTTTCCTGTGTTCAGGATAAACTCACCGAAATGATTAAATCTTCGTTTTAAAGTTTAAATCAACAAAGTACATTCGCTTCAAGTTTAAATAAACCGAAAAATTGCAACGAGACTGAAAAGAAGTAAGGAGATAATATAATGACATTAAACGTCGCAAAGAAATTTCTTTTAAGTTGAATCACCGGAATAAAATTGTTTTGATATCAAAACTAAACAGATTAAAGAGACCTGTTTTCAATCCGCAAGACCGCAAACTGACGAGAGCAAATTCAAAGACTGTGATGCACCGGCGTTATGTTCGTGAAATGTTGGGTATTGTACTACAGAGATTAATTAAGATCCCCACGTATAGCACGTGCCCGAAGTAAGTTTTAAGCACCGTCTTTTTTGACAACTGCCCAAGGCCACGTTGACGCATCACCGGTCAACTGTGACCATTTCTCACTTACTACTGATAAGATGTAAAGCTGTGTGAACACTAAAATGCGTTAGCAATGCAATGAATATCAACACGGTTGAGTCAAGAGATTTTGTATTTATTCATGAATATGTTTTTGTAGACACATCAGCAACTTTTTCAACAGCGATATAAATAATTTTTACAACACTTCTCTTTAACTTCACTTCTTTTTTGTCTGTCTGTCTGTCTGTCTTTATCGAAATTTCTTTATCGAAATTTAATACACTTCTACTTATCCTATCGATCTGAAATTTTGCACACCTGTTTAAAGTTGGAGACAATGCATGAATCAAATGTCAAAATAAATGATTTTTAAAATTTAAATTTTTTTTTCAATATTAAAAAATTGAAAAAATAATTTTGTCAGCTATAAATCTTATAACTGATATTTGAACAACTTTTACCTGTCCAATTGATCTGAAATTTTGCACACTTGTGTGAAGTCAGAGGCAATGCATGAATCAATTAACAGAATAAATAATTTTGAAAAAAATTTATATATCAAAAAAATGTATATATATTAAAAAAATTGAAAAACTAATTTTTTTAATTTTCGAAAATTAAATGAGAAATTCATTGTACATTTGTAAGATTGGAGACACTGGATTCTTTGGAAGTGTTGTCTTTAAAAAGTAATTTTTAAATGCATATTATTCATAACTGGACTCACGCTAATAATTGTCACAACCTACCGCATGCGCCTCGCTTCGCCGCTGCTGCAGTCAGGGCGGTGAGTGAGCTTAGCGACCAGCACGCGCAGCGTCACCAGGAGGAACACCAAGTTCACCTGTTCACGAGGGAAGGAACACCAAGTTCACCTGTTCACGAGGGAAGGAACACCAAGTTCACCTGTTCACGAGGGAAGGAACACCAAGTTCACCTGTTCATGAGGGAAGGAACACCAAGTTCACCTGTTCACGAGGGAAGGAACACCAAGTTCACCTGTTCATGAGGGAAGGAACACCAGGTTCACCTGTTCACGAGGGAAGAAACACCAAGTTCACCTGTTCACGAGGGAAGGAACACCAAGTTCATATGTTCATGAGAATAGGAACACCAAGTTCACCTGTTCACGAGGGAAGGAACACCAAGTTCATATGTTCATGAGAATAGGAACACCAAGTTCACCTGTTCAAAACGGAAGGAACACATAGTTCACCTGTTCACTAGGGAAGGAACACTAATTTCACCTGTTCAATAGAAACGATTGAGTTCAAGTTCTCTATAACACTAAAAGAATTTATGATCTAATGGTTACCATATAAACAAGATTGGAGCAGAGAGTTGCTGGTTCGTGACAGCAGCTTGACACGAAAATTCATGTCGGCGCAGTGGCAGGATGGTTGAACATATCAGGAACCGACGACCTAATCTTCACCTAATATTCAGCACTGACCCCATTATAAAGCGGATGCAATCAGTATTAGCTTATTATTACTTGAGAGATTTTATAAAAAGATTAGCCAGATCTTTATTTTAACAGATTAGGAAACTTAATTTAGGAATATCGCCAGTAGCACTCGTGAAGAAGAAGCTCATTGATTCAGGACATAAAATAATATCAGTGTTATAATTTACCCATTATATATTCCCATCAATTCGAAATTGGAAGAAAAGTTTAACGAACGTGATAAGAACCAATTGCTACGCTCTTGCTGCCATGCACGCGTACCACACAATTACTAGTTACTGAACAGTTTTTAGACAGTTACTTTACAGTTAAAGACAGTTTCTTGGACAGTTACTGCACATTTACTACGCAGAGACTTTACAGTGACACCATCGCTTCACAGTTACAGTTTCTATACAGTTAATTCACATACATTTCATGACTGTTTTTTATACAACTCGACACCGCCTCATTAAAAGAATGCCTTACCAGGACAATTGCGATCCTCGGTCCTTCAATGATCCAGTAAATGGGCGAGTGATTGTAGGCGAACCAACACCTGAAATAATAATAATAATATACACGAACAATTATTCATTGGCAACTCAATGATTTTAGCGTACATTTTTATATGTTGGTAAACAAAGTATCCATTGGCATTAAGATTTAAAATAAAAATTCACTATAAAGAACGAATTTAAAAACTTGCAAATTAGTGCATTTGAAGGAATTAAATTATGTTTGCTGAAAATGGTGTTGGTAATATGAATGCTGAAGAAATGTGTATTATATTTTTTGAAAAGTAATTTACTAACTTGGATTTGTTAGTTGAAACCACGGCAGCGAGCCAGACAACCGTCAGAGATACAGGCGCTCCCCAGCCAATGACGTAGTAGTAAATAAATTTAGTTCTGCGCCGCATGCCTGGCAAGTTGAAAAACACACTTAAATATTTTATTGTAGCTTTAAAACGTGGATCATGTAAAGCCCATGAAAGTCTAGAATTTTTCAGACTTTTGTTGAAGTTTTTTCCGGACCAATATTAGCTTTTGTTTGACTGGGTCTATTTTGTGATGCGTTTGAACAAGTGTATTGTACATAGAATTGCTTGTTGCTATTTTGTACATAGAATTGCTTGCTGTATCAAAAGCGCCGTGTACCGAGGGCGACGTGTACCGAGGGGCAACGTGTACCGAGGGCAACGTGTACCGAGGGGCAACGTGTACCGAGGGGCAACGTGTAGCGAGGGCGAAGTTAGTTCCAGCGATACACTAGGTTCATGACGTAATCTGACAGCGGTTATATAAATTTATGATTTAATAAAATAAACTTTATTTGTTCAAGCTGCAGTATATTTCTCATTTCATTATGGTTTCACTAATAAATTCTCCAAAGGTTGGACAACAAAAATGACTCGGCGAAAGAAAACTTTAAATCTAAAAACTAAGTAATCCACATAATGATTTGGAGAAAGACTGGAGAACAATAATTCTATCTCTAAAGGAAATTGAATTTGGAGAAAGACTGAACAACAATAATTCTAACTCTAAAGGAAATTGAATTTGGAGAAAGACTGAAGAACAACAATTCTAACTCTAAAGGAAACTGAATTTGAAGAAATACTGAAAAATAACAATTCTAATTCTAAAGGAAACTGCTGGCAGAATTTGCCCAGAAACTAGTAAGTCAATATTGGTTCACATTAATACGGAAAATGATCTTACATATGACAGTGGATGGCGTTATGTTGCGGCAATGACTTACCTAACACAACGTTATTCATTGTAACATTAAATTTAAAGAAAAAAAACCGTCACTATTTAAGCTTTATGGCCATATTTACTCACTAGTTAGCTGCTGATAAAGGTTGAGACCTTCAACAAACATCCACATGAACATCGATGTTCTGGAATATTCGAGGAGCGTGTAGAACAGCTTGCACAACCATTCCTGCTCGGATTGCAAGTACAAAATCGTTCATGTCAGAAACTATTATCGTTCGGATTTGATCAAAACTTTGAATATGCATTTCATCTAATAGTTATGTTCACTTGACACATAAAGTCCCCACTCTGCAACAACCGTACTTAAGTCATCACTCGTCTAGAAAAACGTATAATACTTGTCAAAATTACGATTTGTGGGGTTCGATTGCCACATAATAACTAAGAAGCTTTTTCCATATCACCTGCAAGTCGTGCCTGAATTTTGTTAACAAAATAGATTGTTTCTTTTGAAGGCCAGCGATATAATTGCTGTGGTGAAATTAGTACGCGGCATTAACTGTAAATGATCGAAAAATATAAAATGTCTGCTAGCATTGGTCTATAATTATAGTTTAATTTCTGAGGAGATGCAACGAATGCAATTTTCACGGTAAAAATGATTAAAAACTGAGAACAGGAAGAGGGGAGGGGAGAGACTTTCCACTTTATCCTTATATAATTAATGCTGTGAAGATAATTGTCTTTTATTTAACAACAGATGATTTTTATTTTCAGCGTCTATCTAATCGAGAGAAAGCTTAGCTAAGCATTGTTTGACGTTCTTGTCTTTCAAATATCAAGTCCAGCATCACTGTGCCTTCATATTTAAGCAAATCTGAACATAAGTACGCATATGATCTTACCAAAAGTGAAGTTCTCATAACCCCACGGACATGGTAAAATTCCAGTCGCTAAATATTTCAACATCAATTTTGAAGGGGTCTTTGTCCAAATGCCACATTTTATATCACATATGAACAAATCACGAAAATAACAATAATTGGCGACAGGCAAAATTTCCCTTTTTGCAAACGCCGACGTACTTTACTGTAATATTACACTCGATTGCAGCTTACGTTATTCTCGATGCCGCTCGTGGTAGGATAAGCTTCTTCTTCGAGGCTGAAGTCACGGCGCACGATAAGCTGGTCCACGTACAGTGCCAGACGCACACTCGCGTGCACCACCATTGCCATGAACAAACAGCGGTGAATACGTGTACGACGGTTGAACAGCGTTCTTGGAGTAAATTCAATTAAAATATCAATCGATATATATGAGATTTACATACGCACAAAATTAGGCTTTTATCTTAATTCCGATAGAAATATCATCCTTTATTAGATTCTTAGCTTCTTGCTTGAGATACAGAACCTCTCGGACGCTTTCATGTTGATGGCAGGACTCGCAGCTGGTATCCAAGGTTTTATGAACCTATAATAACTCGCAAGCTATTGGCCGTAGCTCGTTTAAACCTTGATTTCATGTTCAATAGAACCTATCTGTGAGGTTTACAGCGTGATCATTTTTCCTATATCACCTCCGTTTGTCAGTTGTACGCTAATACGGGCCAAAATTCGTAGTGAGCCTAATATATCTTCTATCCTACTATATAGATTTGAACGAAACTTTGCATATGCATTCTTAACCATCTAACAGTGATGTTCAGGTCATGAAAATTTGTTCTACGTATTTCACCTTCGTTCGCGCGTTATACGGCTATATACAGAGGAACGACCGGCATTTCTGAGGCCGATTGTCATATTTGCAGTGAGTCTATAATGTTACCGAAATTAATAAACGCAGTTCGATGAAACTTTGCAGATGCATTTATATGACGATAACGGTGATTTTCAGGTCGTGATCCTTTCTTCGATTTTGCATTCGTTTCCTAGTAATTCGGTAAGTTTCGTTCAAACCTGAACAATAGGATTGAAGATATATTATTAGGCTCACTGAGAATTTTAGACCGTATGACCGAATAACTTGGAAACGAAGACAAGATCTGAAAAATTATCACCACCTAAACATCGCCGTTAAAGCCTAAAAAAATGCATGTGCAAAGTTTCATCGAGCTGCGTTCACTAGTAAGTGAAATATTTAAGGCTCACTGAACCTTGGAGAACGACCGCATGGTCCTGCCGTGCCAGTGTCCGAAAGGTGAGATTCGGACAGTTCCAGATATGATATTTGGGATATCACTAATCAAAATATTTGTGACTTTTTTTGGCTTTTGTAAAACTGCAACAGCACTTTTTGAAAATAAATGAAAAAATGTTCTGGTCATCCACATTGATTCTGCCCTTCTACTGGGAGAGAACACTTCTAGCATTTTTTCTTCCTTTCCTTGATTGATATTCGATCTGATTCCTAATTTTCAAAACGAATAGCTACCAGCAATTTCCAACATGCTCGTATATTGTCCAATAGGTTTGGCCAGGTCCGAGCATGATGATTTCAAAACGAAATACTTAAAGCAGGCCGAATTTCCTACAGACGCAGCACTAGAAGTATCGAACTTGTTTAATAAAGCTAATCCTTGCCCAAGATCGAAATTTTCCATAGTTGAATCAAGCCTTCAAAACTATTGCAAAGTTTCGGCTCCCATAATACTTACATCTTTAACTGTCAACGCTGAACCTTGCCACCGAAATTGTTGTTAAGTTTCGGATACTAAAATACTTACAGTATATCTGCTTTAAACTCTAAAATTTTCGCTCTATTTTTAACCGAATTTCACCTTTTAATCATCTATAACATCATTCTTCTTCACTATATACATTCTACAAAAATGTATAATATATAAATAAGAGGTGAAGAAGAATGTAAGTATAGAATAATGTTCGTATAACTTCACTTCATTTTTCATCTTTACATTTGCAAAACCAACTCTGTTCCTCCTAGTCATGCTCATCTGCATGTATAATGCCTTGCTAATACTCGATTCAATTTGATCGCAACGTGAATTTTCAACAAAAAATCGAAATGATTTTAATTACTATTAATTTGAATAATTATTTATACATTGCCAATTTTTTGTGCAAGTTGGCTTTGACAGTATCGTGCACTGGTAGCATCAGCAGTGATGCTATACACGTGGAGTAAACTATTTTATATTAGTATAGGTTGGCAAAATTTGTTCCTTCAAGCAGGTTTCATTGAAGACCAGAGAATTCGTTTCATTGACAATTTTCTCATTAGTTTTGTCAATAGATCGAACAATAATTTTCGTTTGCACTGGTAAATCTAAAATAAAAAACTAATATTTTATATTAGTGGCCACACGTCAATAACTCTAAGAGTTTCCGTACCTGAAGAATGAAAATATTGCAATGGAGATCCACAGCGAGGCTAGCGATAAAATTAAACCGATGAATTCGACGATTCTTGTTGCCTTTGCGACTTTCATTTTTAGCTGCCCACAAAATTATACGAGAAATTTTCATTCAGAACTTACAATTTGCATAGGAAGGATAATTTGTCAATACACTACGTTGCCATTTGTAATATCATATTTCTCGTGCATAATCTCGCTGTGCGGGTTTTAAGTTTTTTATACTTAAATTATAAATTGCAGAATGTTATGATCAAATTTCTATGACATGACAAAATAATTATCTCCTCATCAAAGCGTCTTACCGCGGGCTGAAGGAAACATAACTCTATAAAAAAGGAACCTTGAAGAATATCGATAAAAACTAATTATATTGATTTGCTCTTCAAAGCTCGGCTGCAGTAAAGGATCATACCAAGAGCTGGTGCTGTCCCCCTGCCTCGCTGACCGTCTTCAGGAGGTTGAGCACCTCAGGCGTCAGGCAAGTCATGTAGAACTCCGTCAGGTTGTCTTGGCCTAAGTCAGCCCAGGTGCCCTCAGCGGTGCAATTCCTGCTCACACTTCCTGGCAACGGCACTGAAATTGCTTTGAATTGTTCGCTGTCGCGGAAATTTTGTGGTGTCTGCAGAGATACTTTACTGCTCACAGATTAGGTACAGCGCAGTTATATTTTTGCCATTGTTTTGTTTGGTAAAATGTTTATATTTCTGGAATTGTCATGTAAAATTTAAAATTTTGTATTAATAAACATTTGAAATATGAGCTGCAGTGGCACAGTTTGATAAATGATTACAAGAAGTGAGAACCAAAAATTGAATGTTTAATTGAAAATACTGCATTTTATGAATATCTATGAATTTTCAATTAGAGCTGTTACATCTTATCAGGTTTGGAAAAATTATCAATTGGTGTGTTAGTTCTAACATGGTGTAAAAAATATTACAGGTTAGAATATGCGTAATCTCACGCGAGGTGTCGAAGCCGTTGTAAGCAGGACAGGCGACAACAGCGAGACCGGCAGCTGTAGTTCGGGGCCAGCACAGCACGCCGTCCCACACTGCAGGGCAGCGCTGCGCATCTGTTGTTCGATCGCAACACGACACTCACACGCGTCAACCACATGCACAGCTCTTATCAGACTTGATATTTGAATACCTTGTTCACTTAAAATAAAAAATTGATATAGAATGCTAAAAACTTAAGTGAGCTCTTATTTGGGTAATTAGTAAAAAATATTAGTAGAAATGTATACAAAATTGACACAGCTTTAGATAACGCTGACTTTGACTTGCGACGGATTTCGCTAAAAATGCGCATACCGCCAAATTTGCAAAATATGCCATGACATTTGCAAATCAAATATATATCACTTCATCTCTTCATATTTTACAGGTTGAGACAGAACCGTAATTTCGGTTCCATTGTTTTCAGGTTGATTTTTAATGAACAATTCGTTGATAGCTGATTAAAGTGCAGCATTGTGATCATCAATCAAGCACGCAAGCATATGCTAAATATTAAAAAAATACGAACTTAATTTTTAAAATCCATATGATGATATATCCACATCAGGGATTTGGCTCGATTTACACTGACCGTTATATGTAGCTGGCGTAGGGTCTGAGCTGCAGAGCTCGGCGTCCATCACATGGAATGTTTCCAACGGCACAAAGTAAAAATTGACATTTAACGATTATTACGCACCTCAAATGCAAAGCCGGTGTATTACTGACTATAATAGGATGTACATACTTCTGAACTTTGAGAAAGATATATGTTAGGAAAATGGCAGTGATCCAGAACAAAAGAAATGTTGAAGCGACCACATCAACTGAAGCTGGGTAACAAACAGTGCTCGGTAATTACAGCACGCCACATTTCACCGACGCTACACGTCGTAAGAGCCCATATTATTGGAACTAAACGTCGTACGAGCTACATTGCTTCTAACTACACGTCGTACAAGCACATATGGTTCAAAATACTCGTCGTACGAGCGTCTTTGCTTTGAATTACGTCGAATAAGCGCCTTTGGTTCAAACCACAAGTTGGACGAGCGCCAATTATTCGAATCACACGTTGTACAAGCGCCTATTCCTCGAAATACACGTCGTACAAGCACATATGCTCCTACTTGACTGCGATGCCCTGAGAACAACATGAATAGGCAGCAGGCGCGCGCTAATAAGCCAGGCTGAGGCCCGCCGGTCACGCTTTACTCACCTTACACTTCCTGCTGAAACGTGATGCGTCGGACGTCAGCCTGCACAGTTTGATATGCCTTATGGTCGTCGTGCGTCGTTTTCTATGTGGGCCGCAATGGCGTTGGTTCCAGAATGAACAGGTGTGATTCCACGCTCAAGAATGTTTTGAAACGCTCAAGCATGTATTTTTAATGCAAATAAAAGTTAAAGGTAGGTAGTTTACATAACTAAGTCTTATCGCTTGATTATTTTATGTCGGGTTACGCTTATCACTTCTTGCAACGAATTACGCTAGATCACAACAACGGTGCAGGTTGTATGTAACTCTATTGCGGTAACGGTGGAGTGCCGGTGAAACTCCACAGCAATGACAAAGCATTACAACCACTGCTGTGCCGGAGGAACTCCACCGCATTTCCGACGTATCCACTGCAGAACCGGCGAAGCGTCCCACTTTAGAGCACGTGCTGCAACAACGAATGGCTGTATGGCTTTCTTTGCTAAAATTTAGGGCATTACTTTCATCCGATGCTGGTAGACGGCCGCTGGTTGCCGCTCGAAGAGAATTGGAATACAAGCAACCATTTCCTAGTCAACCATATCATCACTACCGCATTCGTCTTCTGAACGTGTTACGAGATTACGAAATTATGTGAACAGGTTCAGCAAGCAACATCGCGAGTTTACAGCAGATACATTTTTGATGCCTCCAATAACTGAGCTCTATATAGGTTCAGAATTATAATAAAATAATATATGTAAAAATGATACGTTTTTTGATGCCTTGGCTCTAGGCTCTAGGTTCAGCATTATTGCAGTTACAGGAAAAATGAGAGGTTAACGTGAATACTTTTTACTAGGCCTTACATAACTTAGTTCTGGTTTCAGCATGGCAGTACGAGCAACATCGGCAAGTTACAGTAACAATTTTTATAATGACTTCAACACCTCTTATTCTCTAGCAAAGGAAAAGCTATTCATAGCTATGCTTCCACAGATACGAAAGCACTCGTACTGCATCACACGGCAAAGTCGTCATTAGGTCAGCAAGCTGATGAAGGGTAGGCTTTATAAAAAAGTTAACATATACAGAAAGTATCGTACGGTCGCCGCCGCATTGCGTGCAACCATTTACGCGCTTGGCAAAGCTCCATACCTAATCCAATGATCACACCAAGTGCCACTTTCCCGACTACGCTTGGAAGTGATTCGACTCATCCATGCATACCTCTCTACTGAGCAACAGCCAACACGCAGCCTTCCCTGTAACCAAACCTCTGGACTGCTACTATCTCCGACTATAATGCCTTCATCTACGACAACTAAGACACTTCCTTACTTTTTGCAGCACTGCAGAAAACTAGGCGCTGGCCCTTCACACTTGCATCTTTGCTGAGAGATGAGTTCCCAGCGGAAAAACTGGTAACACACATGTGCGAAGCTGGCTTCATTGACAAGCTGTATAAAAAAAATACATCCTGCTCTGATTAAAGCAACTGTGCATTGAAGGCTGGTGCTTTAAGACAAATTAATATTTACTCGCGCGTAAGAAGGGAGCAGGATGTCGCGATTGGAGTTCTGACGACTGAAAAAGAATAAAGGTGCTTGTACACGGGGATAGTGCAGACGGCTAGTAAATCTGGCTAGTGTCGGTCGCTTGGTGACTATCCGGCTAGTAAGCCTGTACGCACGAGGAGAGTATAAGGTGCCGCTATCTTCTCGTTCGCGCCCGCCAGTGAGTCGTTAGAAGCCGTCGAGTGAGGTCTGTGAAGATGAATAGTGTGATCACCTTCAACAACTCGAGTCTGTACGTCTTTTTTATACTCCATATTCTAGCCCTTAAAAATACAGCGTCGGGAACAACTAAACCCTGACTAATAAGGTCTTCTTTCCGTTTCAAAATACTCGTTTCTCTCTTCATTTTGTTGGAGTAACCATCATAGAAAACATTATACTTTAATTCATATTTTTGGAATATTTCAAAGAATAATTGAATATCGTCTGGAATCCACTTTGTTGGATTCCTCTTAGAAACATTATCGTTCAAACAAGCCATGATTCGCGTGACCCAAGATACTTTACAGGAGCGGCACAGATGCTCTCACCATGGCTGCATCAGCGCTACTAGCCACTTCTCCAGCCAAGATATCAACACATCGTTGTCTCTCTCGGCCGCGCCTCGGGCACTTGCCGGCGCATGCCTCTGAAGCGGCTGAACCCCTATACACGAGGCTAGTAGCGTGGACAGTCCAAGCGCCGGATGAACTAGCGGCTAGTACTATCCCTGTGTACAGGCACCTTTTAACAATAGCAATAAAAAAGATTAACTGAATGGCTATTATGTACACACTTCACCATCATGGCACGACCCAGCAGAAATAATTTTATTCCTTCTTCAGAATTCTTTGCATCTTTATTCTTCAGTGCACTAAAATTCTTGTAAACCAAGCTAGGTTGTTGTTGTTGTGGTTCTCCGGTCTCATTTTTAGAAGAGACCCCCCTCGCGCAAGTACGACGCCACCGACAGGGGTTCGCTCCAGAGCTGTAGGGTCGAGGTTATGTGGTGGTGTGGTCTGAGGTCCTGCCAGAGCGGACATTCCAGGAGAATGTGAGTGATTGTGTGGGTAGCTCTCTGGCAGGATGGACAGGTGTCTGTGTCTGCTTGGCCTATTCTGTTTGCGTATGTTTGTAGTGAAGGTGGTGGCCGCAGCGCAGCTTGGCTAGGTGTACTCTCTTCAGTCTAGAGAGCTGTGTTTCTGTGCTGCTTAGGTGCTTGTACACGGGGATAGTGCAGACGGCTAGTAAATCTGGCTAGTGACGGTCGCTTGGTGACTATCCGGCAAGTAAGCCTGTACACACGTGGAGAGTAGAAGCTGACGCTATCTTCTCTTTCGCGCCCGCCAGTGCGTCATTAGAAGTCGTCGAGTGAGGTCTGCGAAGATGGATAGTGCGATCACCTTCAACAACTCTAGTCTGTACGTCGTTTTTATACTATTTATTCTAGCCCTTGAAAATGCAGCGTCAGGAACAACTAAACCCTGACTAATAAGGTCTTCTTTCCGTTTCAAAATACTTGTTTCTCTCTTCATGTTGTTGGAGTAACCATCATGGAAAGCATTATACTTTAATTCATATCTTTGGAATATTTCAAAGAATAATTGAATATCGTCTGGAATCCACTTAGTTTGTTTCTTCTTAGAAACATTATCGTTCGAACAAGCCATGATTCACTTAACCCAAGATACTTCACAAGAGCGGCACAGATGCTCTCACCATGGCTGCATCAGCGCTACTAGCCACTTCTCCAGCCAAGATATCAACACATCGTTTGTGTTTGGAGTTTCTGTATGTTTGTGTTGGATAGTGCGGGCGCCCAGGCGGGGCTGGCATAAGCCAGCACTGTTCTGATGAACTGTTTGTATGTTGGTGCTAGTGTTCCTTTGTTTTTGCCGAATGTGGTACCGCCTAGGGCCCGAAGTGAGTTCAGTCTGATGTTTGCGTTGTTCACTATGTTGTTGATGTGAGGGCCGAATGTCATGGAGGTGTTGTAAGTATCCCCTAATATTTTTGTTTCGTGTGTGTGCGGGATCGGGGTGTTGTTTAATGTGATGTTTGGTCTGTATTGGTGCTCCTTTGTGTGGCTGGTCATTAATGTGTTTGTGGATTTACTGGGAGCAACCTTGAGTCTGTTCAGTGCATGTGAGCCATTGTGATAAAGTGTTGAGATATGTTTGTGCTTGTTGAGTACATATGTCTGCGGATGGGTGAGTGGATGTTATTGTGACGTCGTCTGCGTAGGAGGCAATGTGGATGTTTGGATGTTTGGAGGTGGTTCGGGTATGTCGTGCATGTATAGATTGAAGAGTGAGGGTGATAGGACGGAGCCCTGTGGGACTCCGTTGGCTATGAGTGATGTGTGTGATGACTTGCCTGAGTAGTTAGTGTACGTATGCTTGTCTGCCTGATAGGTAGTTGGCAAGCCAGCGTTTATTGTTGTTGTGTAGTGTGGTGTTGTAAATTTATTTGTGAGATGGAGGCGAGGGATGGCATCAACGGCTTTACTGATGTCTATTGTAAGGAGTAGTGTTCTGTGGGCGGGTTTGCGGGAGTTGATGCATCGTTTATGCTTTGTGTGAGGTTTGTGAGTAGTGTTGTGGTCGAGTGGTGAGGTCTGAATCCGTGTTGTGTTGGAGAAAGTGTAATGTGCGGAGTGGTTGTGTTCAGTATGAGGCGCTCTATGACTTTTGATGGTGTACAGAGGAGTGTGATTGGTCTGTATGAGGCGGCCTCAGTGGGTGGTTTGTTGGGTTTGAGAAGTGTGATTATTTTGCCAATTTTCCAGATGTATGGTATTTTAGAGCGTGAGTAGGAGAAGTTGGCAATGTTTGTAAGTGTCGTGATTCCGTGTGGGCCAAAGTGCTTAAGGTGTATGTTTGTAATGTTGTCGGGCCCAGCAGCGGAAGAGTTTTTAATTTGTTGTATGACCCTTTTGGTGTCGTTTGTAGTGGCTAGGGTAGCTGTTGGGTCTAGTGGAAATTGTTGTTTGGGTCTTATGATGCGTCTGTCT